AGGCTATTTCCAAAAGATTTATAGCTCTTTGAGTGAGCTTTCCAACTCATTTTTAATTACCTCAATCGGACATCGCAAGATAAAGTTATGATGAAAATACTGACGACTGCTTAGCTGTCACTAGCTACTTGCTTGAGCAACATTTGTATCCGGCCAAACCCTAGGTCCCGATTTGAAGAGTTTTACATGGTCCATGACATCTATTTGCCCCCGTCTATAAATACCAGAGTCATGGACGAAAATTTTAGGGTTGCTCATTGTGCTTTCACATCTATAACACTTTCATATCATTATTCAAGAGATCCAAGACATTATTCATTGATTCAACACTCTAGATTATTGAGATCCTACAACAAAGTTTTGGGAAAAAGCGTCAAACCTGTGAATCCAAAACGCCTGGCTTCCTTAAGTCTTTGATGAAGGGGATTTCTCATTGGGGGATTGAGAGAAGTGGATTGAAGTACAGTTACAAGCATAAGAACTGGTGGTTCTTGGTATTTCACTTGGAGAGACATTTAGTATAAGACCAGGAGGCCATAGGAGATAGCATATTGGATTGCAAGAAATAGATCAGGAAGTCTAGTAGGAAACTAGAGGCATCTATGGTAGCAGGAGGCTACAGGAGGTCTAGCCGGCTAGAGATATCTACGACAGTAGATCATGAGACTGTGACAGCAGGTCTTAGTGGATACAATAGTTGGAATTGATGTGTATTCCTTGAACTGCCTATAATGGAGGTAACTGGCTTAATCTCAGAGTTTTTCCCACATTAAGTTTCTCCATAATCAAATTTTGTGTTCTCTACTTTTCAACAATTTATTACAAGATGTAGTATTCAAACATAGGATTAATTGAATTGTATGCTTAAGCATCTAGAATAGTAAGCTCCATCAAGGCAATCCTATGTCTCCTTATTTGTTCATCATTATGAAAGAGGTTTTAGCACATCTTTTACGCAAGAGGTTTGAAGATGGCAGCTTTGGGAGGTTCTATCACCCTATTGGGGCCCCTTTGGTCTTGCATCTGCTATATGCCGACGATGTAGTAGTGTTCGTGAAAGGAGGTAGTAAATCTATAAAAATGCTCATGAAGACACTAAATACATATGAAAAGTGGTCGAGGCAATTGATCAATACTGAGAAATCGGCAATTTTGTCTTCAAGAAGGATTAGCTATACAAGGAAGAGGAACTTGCTTCGACTTACTGGTTTTACTGAAGGGCAATTCCCAGTGGTCTACTTAGGGGTGCCCATCACCTCTGGTCATCTTATAGCTAGGCATTTTGGAGATTTTGGTAGCCAAAGTTCAAACCAAAATAGCAGGCTGGAAAATGAGACTACTATCTCAAGGAGGTCGACTTATTTTAATCTGACAAGTTCTGACATGTATGGCAACACATTTGTTAGTAGTGGTAAATGTTCCGAAGATAACTCTCAACAACATAAACTCCTTATTATCTACTTTTTTCTGGGGTGAGAGTAATGGTAAACAGAAAAAGAAATGGCATGCTTGGTCTAAAGTATGTATGCCAACTATAGAGGGTAGACTTGGGGTACGGGATTTTGTTACAATTCAACGATCCCTCCACATGAAACTTGCATGGCGGCTTATGATGAGTAATAGTTTGTGGTCCAGTTTTATCCATAGCAACTACGTAAAGAACGGTCACCTTTTTGTCAACTCTAACACCAGTGGATCAAGCTTGTGGAAATCAATCGTAAAGGTGCTACCTGAGGTGTATGAAAATTTAAAATGGAAGATCAAAGATGGGTCAGCTTCATTTTGGTATGATCGCTGGTTAGCTAGTGGACCATTAAATGAGCAGGCCTTGGAGGTAACCAACCCAAGACTGAAGGTTAGAGACTGTTGGATTGAAGATGGTTGGGATCTCGCCCATCTTCAAGAGCTAGTGGGGGAGGTAAAGGCAGAGGAAATTGTACAAACCATTGGTGCCAGAAAAGAAGGAAGTGATATTATCATATGGAAGCCGAACGATAATAGAGATTTCTCCACTTCAAGCGCCTGGGATATTGTAAGGGTGAGGAGTCCAGAGATTCCTTGGATGAAATGGATATGGCATAAATTTCTACCCAAAAAAAATTCTGTTTGTATGTGGAAGGCGAAGTTTGGCTGCTTAAGTGTGGATACTAAGGTGAGATCAAAAGGAATTGCTCTAGCTTCACGCTGGGATTGTTGTGAGAAGGGATAAGTGGAAACACTTGATCATGTACTTAACTCTGGGGATATTGCTAGGACAGTTTGGAAGTGGGCATCTTTAGCCTTGGGTGTGCATTATATGGGGCCACAATCTTGGTGGACAAGAGTCAATAGATGGTTCACATGCGCAAAAATGCCTCACAATGTGGAATTCTAATTAGGCTATTACCAAGCTTGATAACATGGAAACTATGGGGACGGCGATGTATGGCACGTATGGAAGAGATTCGAGAATCTGCGGAGGAGGTATGGCTTAAAATAAAGGTTTGGTTGTGCCTCTTAGCTGAAGAAATTGTCAAAGTCTCAAAACTAAGTAAAATAGACAATGAACTCCTCAAAGCCTTAGAGGTGCCTATGAGTTCGAAGATGAGTAAACCAACTCTCTTTGTTTCTTGGAGGAAACCTGCTGATGGTTGGGTAAAACTCAATATTGATGGGAGTAGTCTTGGTAATCCGGGACCTTGTGGAGGTGGGGGAGTTATCAGGGATCATCATGGTAATATGATTGCTGGCTTCTCTGCCCCATACGGATTTGGAAGTAACAATGAAGCGGAGTTGCGTGCTGTGATAAATGGTATAGAGCTATGTAAAGAGATGGGCTTCCAATAGGTGGAAATTGAGTGTGACTCAACTGCTGTGGTCAACTGGTTAACAAACCGTTCATGTAGGATTTGGTATTTGTGGGATTATTGGGAGGAGTTACTAAAATTACTTGATGGAATCAGTTTTACCATTTCTCACCAATATAGAGAAGCAAATAGAGCCGCAGACTTTCTAGCCAAACAAGGGGTGAATGGTATCACGATGAGTTACATGCACATAGATCAAATACCAAATTTGTTAAGAGGTATTATTCGTACGGAGAAACTTGGTTTTCCAAATATTAGGCAATAATTGTAAGGTAGATGTGTGTAACTAGATGGGTTGATTAGTTCTACATGGCTTGTTTGTTTGTTTGTTTTTTTTTTTTTCGCTTTGTTATTTTGACCCCAGCGGTATTCCTCCGCCATAAGTGGTGATTGGATAAAGTTCTTGTTTTAAAAAAAAAAAAAAAAAACCATCTAGAAACTAATTAAAAGTGATGCGTTTACTTTGATAAGTCAATTCGGCACGTAAGATTGAACTAATTGGTAATCTAGAATGTAAATTTGGTAACACTAAAATTTGAATTCGTGATCATAGCATCTTGCGAACTTTCAAGCGTTATCATAACGTTCTAAGCATGACTTTTCAAGACTGTTGAACCCGGAGGTGATGCAAGAATTGAGATTAATGAATAATATGAAATATGTATGATCACAAGGAAGAAAACGAGATTAAAGTAAAGAAATTGAAGAGAGATTAGTAGAGAAATCGATGTTTTATTAAAAATAATATGTGGAGAAAATACAAGAATTGAACAATAAAGCTTCACCTAAACTGAATGAAAAGCCACATATTTATAGGGACATGACAAACCCTAAAAATATCATAAATATGAAAATAATATAAAAATGTGGAATAAAGGAAATAATATTTTTTAATAAAATCACATAAAAATAAGAAAACAATATTTTCCAATAAAATCAAGTGAAAATAAGGAAACAATATTTTTCTAAAAAATAACTATAATTTGGGACACAAAATCTAACAATTTCCACCTTGACCCAAATCTCAGTGCAACGAACAAAGTTCCAAAATTTCTACACTTGGAAAAATATGTCTAATTGTATCGAAATAATCAAGTTCCTCAAATAGTAACCGAAACTCTCCACCTCACGATAAACTTCATCATCTGCCCAGCATCCACAAGCGACACCCAAATCCTAATTCCATGTTCCCAAAATTTCAACAAGGAATTAATGTTGACCAAACAGGGTCGAAGCACATCCTGTAACAAAATCCACACAAAATGCCTGATTAGAAATTTTGGAAAGCACTATAGATATCTCCAACATCGTACCTACGCTCAATGGATCCAAATATAGCATTTGAACACTTATCCGCTGAAATTGGTGGCAAAGCGGAATCACCAGTGCTTTCCCTAGCAGTGTTCTCAACTGACTTAAAGCCCATCATAAGAGGTACTGCATCAAATTTAATTTCCACCACAGTACCAAAACTTATCCAGATGTCTCTAGCAACTAAAACTTCTTCCGTCCTTCTAGCATAACCCAGACACACCTTCGGATCTTCAAGACCCCACCTCCACTAGAGAACTTATACGACTTTGAATTCAGAGTACTCAATGAGATGAAATTATTTTTCAAGTTTGAAACATGTTAAACCTGGCCAAGTATTCTGACTGTCCTATCTTACAATCTCAATTTGACCCGACCGATTCCAACAACCCCACAAGCTTGATTATTTCCCATGACAACTCCATCTTACTTAATCGCATCATATGCCTCAAACAAGTCTCGATTGGGACACATATAGAACGTGCATGCTGAATCCAAAATCCATCCTTTGTCAGGCTTAGACTCCATGTCAAATACAATTAACACCACATCTCTACCATCCGAAAAGTCATTGGCAATATTGGTCTCTTCAAATTATATGATTGCTTCCCATAATTTTTAGCTAAATTACCTTTAACTTGCATCTTATTGCAATCTTTCTTGACGTGTCCTTTCCTTCTATAGTAGAAGCAATACAAATTGCTGAAGTTCACTTTCAATCTGTCCCTTCGTCGATCACCATGAGATATCAAAGCTTCCTCATCCCTAGATATAGCTTCAACTAGATACTTCATCTTCTCCTTTAAGAATAAAGCATCGTACGTATCATTGATAGTGAGTGTCATGATTATACGGAATCGTGTCTTGAAACAACGCATAAGAAGCGGGCATCCAACACAACAGGATCAAGGCCAAATCCTTCTCATCATACTTGACTTCCAATGTTTCCAAGTCCGCGATGGTTTCCCTGATCTCAGCCAAGTGATCTTCCAGCCATCCTCTCTCTACCATGCAATGGAAATACAGCATCTGTTTTAGATGCAGTTTGCTCGTAAGACTTTTAGTCATACACAACTGCTCCAGTTTTAACCACAAAGTAGCTTTCATTTTCTCCTTAATGCATCCTACATAATGTTATTGGAGAGATGAAAATGAATCTGCGATAGAGCCTTCCTGTCTTTTGGTTGTTCAATTTGCTTGCATCTTATCAAAATCAAGCAAAGCATCATCTGGATCCATCTGCGCCAAACACAACCCTCATCTTTACTTGCTACAGCGAAAATCTTGTATTGCGATTCAGTAGACCAAATTTTGGTATGGTTCTCCTTGTAGCCAATTTCAAGTTTGCATGTCTAGTTAGTTGAATACGGTTATCTAGGTCACTAGTCTTCATTTCTTCTTTCCCATCCAAAGCTGTGCACATAAATTGGCTCCTCAAAAATTAAGCAATGCTTATAGATATAGACACCAAATAAAATAAAAATTCGTGTGTGTGTGCGCGTGTGTAGATACATACATATGTTTCATGCTAACAACTAGTTATTTTGATCCAGTGGATATATGTCTCTGGAGTATGCATTAGATGGATTATTCTCGATGAAATAAGACGTATTTGGTTTTGGAGTTGTTGTACTCAAGATAATTAGTGGAAAAAGAAACACAGGATTTTATTGGTCCACAGAAGCCCTCAATCTCTTAGGTTACGTAAGTGGCTAAATCCCACCATTTATATCCTCTGTTTTGACATATATAACCATTAGAAATTTCCCAGTCTAATGTATACTTCGAAACTAATTTGTGCAGGCATGGAGATTGTGGAGTGAAAACAAGGCATTGGATTTAATGGATCCAATATTGCTTGAATCTTGTAAGAAATTTGAAGTTATGAAGTGCATAAATGTTGGGATATTGTTTGTGCAAGAAGAACCTGATGATCGGCCCACCACATCGAATGTAGTTTTCATGCTTGGTGGCGAAGCAACAATTCTTCCGGTTCCTAATCAACCAGCTTTCATAATGAGAAAACCCGTTTCAAACACTTCTTCATCCTCTACTAAACCGGGTTCAATTTCCAATGAGTTAACAATGTCTGTTGAAGAAGGGCGATGAGGAATCTACTTATTCCCGGCCATTAATGCTATCATTTTTTTGTTATGCCAGAATTAAGTTGCTTTGGTAGCAATTTTTTCATCTAAAAAAATCAATTTTTTGACCGTTATTTCACTATTTTAGCCGTCATTTTTTACTTCTTCACTCATATGTAAAACCTAGTTTTTCTCTAATGGTCAAAAAATCAATTCTCATAAATCACTACCAAACAGATTCATAGTATTATTTATGTATTGTGTTACGTGATATTATGAATTGCATTGGTGAATTCATATACTTGGCATATATACATGAGAAGACTAATCTCCTAAGCATCAAGTAACGTGACACACTATCTACAAATGTAATCAATTTTGGAGGGAGAATGTAATAACTGTTGGTACATGCACTATATTAAATAAGCGGATACAATTTATTAAATATAATGGTGTGACACACTAAATATATGTTGTTAGAGCTTGATCGCAATCTTAGTCATTATATAAGTGGACATAATTTATTAATTATGATGTAGCATAATTTACGATTACAAACAGTTAAGCATGTGAAATCGTAACTAGAAGGGGTAAATAGAAATAAAAAGAGAGATCACATTTGATTAAAAGATAAACACTATCGTACCAATGACTACTGGAGAAGTTACATTTATTTTACGACTTTAGGCTGAAGAAAGGTTAATGGACTTCCCACAAAGTTGTTCCAACTCAGTTTCCAAAACTTTGATCAAGTTCCGTTTAGTTCGCCTATAAATCCAAGCTTGGGTATTTCGATCCCAATCAAACCTAGATGGGCCTCTGCAAAAGAAAGTTTAATCTTCAGAAGCAAACACAGAGGAAAATGAAGGCATGGACATCTAATCAAATAACGCAATTTTCCAAGAAAACATGCATATCATACTCATCTATATGCCTAATACAAAGTAAAAGAAACTAATATACATTGGCATCGCATATATCAACTGTAGTATAAAAAGGGTAAATTATTTTAAGTCGCCTTGTTTTAGTTGGCGAAATGAAGAACAGTCATGTCCAGTTTTTTTGGTCAAAAATGGACAATAAATATATTTCACCCTTGCTAAGAAAAAGGAAAAATTCAGTAAAATGGCTGGTGAACTCACCCAACTCCAATAAATGGGCAGATTTTGGAGTTGGGTTCTCTACTCATCCAACTTTCAAGTGAGCAAGTAGAGTAAAAATTCAAAAGCATAGTTCCAATTTTAGAAAAAAATCATCCATACCGAAATCATTCCACTTCTGATCAACCTCCTTAACTAATGCAACAAGGACGCCCACTCCTTTTAAATTCAAACTATACTTGATTAATGCAATAACTCTTAAATTACAAGGTTATTTGCAGAAATTTCACTCAGTTCTTTCAAAACACCTCAAATACCAGAGAAAAAAATAAGGAGCGTGAACAATATATGCACATTCTGTAAAAACACTAGTTACATTTGTTTTACAATTGTTTTAAAAATGATCACAATAAATATGTTAAACACTATTTGTTTCAATATGGAGCAACTACTTATGTGCCCTTGTTCCCCAGCAATCCCTTGAAGTTCTCCTCATTGGACCACAACAAAAGCATCATCTACCCATAACAATATCTTTTTCCTAGCAAATGAATATTTCTTTCTGGCAGGTGGTTAGCAGGTTTACAGATCAATTTGTTGAATTAACTGGGAAGGACTTTTTTCAATATTTTCATTATGAGTTATCTACCTAACTGGAGCAGTGCCAATTGATTAAAGCAACTATGTAGAATACTGGCAATTGATGACCATAGGTGGACCTTTAGTAATCCTACAAG